CTTCTCTAGGGTCGGTCCTTGAAACCATCGAGGGCGACTTGAGATCGCGGACGTATGCTCGGAGGTCGGTCAGGAACGACGTATCCTTTTGCATGGCGAAGATCGTCCATGGCCAGTAGTTCTGGGCCGAAGTGAAGAAGTCCAGGATTGCGATGGCCTCGCGGCTTGGCAGCTTCTTGATAGAGCGAAGCTTTTCCATGGCCGTGGAAAGGACCGAGTCTGGAGAGAGTGCTGCAATCCTGCCATCTCCCTTCAGAGCCTCGCGGGGGGTCTTGCCGGTAAGCAGGCAGTTTGCCATCCACTGCTGACGGTTCCGCATTATTGTCGAAAAGAACCTCCACGTACTGACCGACTCTGGCACCCTGTCAAACGGCTTATCCAGCTGTGAAGCGATCTGGATGAATGACCGTGAGATTTGCGGGCCGAGGTATCCTAGCAGCGATGGAGGTTCGGCGTTGCCCTTCCCGGCACTTTCTACCAGCGCGCTTAGCAGAGCTATCGCCGGTGCCTTGAAAGACAGCCTGATGGCAGGAAGACGGGCGACCAGAGACGCAGACTTGAACAGTTGCGTTTGGAGGTTGGCGACAGGCAGATCGAGGTAGTTGGAAACCCGGAGGAGAATAGTTGCAAAATCGAGGACCACCAGTAGCCTCTCTGAGACAACGGCAGCCCGGCGGGGATAAAGAGTCGAGTCGGGAATTTGGAAGGCAACAAGAAGTGTCGCCAGAAGGGGTTGGAATCGAAGAGAGTTTGACGAGGCGGTGACGAAGCTCTCGAGAACATATCTAGCGGCTGGTTCAAGGTAGCCAGTCAAGGTGTTTGCAGGTCCAGTTGCACCCAAGTTATAGGTGTATGAGAGGAGCTTCTGCATGATACCCACCACATCACGAACCACGATGCTGCGGTCCAGCTCGGACGGGAATCTCCAAGTGGCCGAGTTCTCGATGATATCGACCGCGGTCTGGGCGATGGCCAGAGAGACCCGGGAGATCACCTTCTCGCTTGTTCCTAGCCATGCGTTTGCGTCGAGGTTGGAACGAGCGTTCGTCTCCCTTACGACCTTACGCTGAACAGCACCGAGCATGGCAATCTCGATCAGGTTGGAGAAGAACTTCATGGCGGAAGAAAGGAAGTCAAAGCGCTCGGTAATCATGTCAAGGTTGCCGGTGATCCTGGACAGCCTTCCAGCTCGTGTCTCGCCATTGATGAGGGCAGTCCTAGACATGTAAGCCCAAACCCTGCCTGGGCACACAGGTAGTGCGGCATCAAGGAACTGCAAGCAGGCTGCCAATACCGCGGTCCTGGGACCATCGACGTTGACGAGATCGTCTTGAATGATGGTGTCCATGAGGTCGCAAACCACCGTCAAGATGTCCTTGGTGTGTGGTAGAGCTCTGCTTGCCTCCTGCAGGATTGCCATGCCGGCCTCGGAGCCAGCCCTAGAAACGGTCACAGCAGTTCTGAGAGTCTCGACTCGGACAACGGTTGCCAACAGTAGTATCGACTCGGCAACCTCGTCAGGAGTAAGCCCGGGAAGAGCACTGCTGTACGCGTCAGCCTTCAAAGACACCTCGAGACGCTTGCCGAGAAGGGCCAGGGCCGAGTGTTCGTATTCCAGGATGGCTATCCTCTCGCTGTCCGAGACGAAACGTCCAAGGGTACCAGCAGGAATAGTAAACTTCTCCTCATTTTCGGGGCGTCTCCTGGTAACCTTGGAAGTATCGAAAAGATCAAGGTCGGCAATCAGCTGGAAGGAGTTGATGTTTTCGTCCTCGTAAATGAGTTCGTAGTTGACCCAGTCAGACCTCCAGTCCAGGGTCAAGGTAGGAGACCTGAGCAGCAGACTGATAACCCACTCGGAGTTCTCGCTGTCTGCAAGGAGGCCCGTCAACAGAGCCCGGGTGAATGAGACGAACGGCAAGAACTCATAAGGGTAACGGTTGCGAGCCTGCAAGAGATAGTTCTCCTTCAGCTCATTGTCGCGAAGCATGACTGAATCAACTTCCTGGCTTGGAGACAATGCACTCTTGGGAGAAATATCCCAATACTGCCTCCCTCCGGACAGTACGGCAAGTAGGCAGGAGACGGTATCGTTTTGGTACCCCACGATAGGGAAGCTCTTCTTGAGAACCTCGAGGAAAACAGCGCGAACGCGCGCTCCTAGCAGAGAAGAGAAGGCAGCGAGCTGGCTGTGGCCAAGGCAGGCAGCCATCTCCGACATGACCTCATATACCTGGCCACGAGCGGTAGCCGCAAAGGCGAGGGCCTCGACCAACTGATTGTCCCGGTCAAGGGCCTGCGAGGTCAGGAACAGATCGTAAGGCGACCTTTCAATAGACACAATGCTTCCCGCCGAGTTCCTACGTCCGCTGGGGTTGGGCTGAATCTCCAATTCGAAACTGGCTTGAGCGCGCGCGTTCTGCGCAACATCCCGTCGTTCGGCGCGTTCCTGGTAGCCAATAAACATTTCCTGCAGAATCAAGGACCAGGCCAGAATGACGGGGCTGGCAGTGGGCGAACCAGCATTCGCAGCGCTGGTGATGGCTGTATGAATTATTGTTAGGAGCTCGGATGATGCTAGGTAGGGCTCCTCAAAGTCCAGGAGGTCGATGTCTTGGCTCAAGTACATGAGTGATCGGTTTAGGTTGACGAGTCTGAGCGAGATGGCGCATACCAAGCTCTTTGTGGGCATGACGAGCTCGGAAACAAGATCGTAGCCGCTGCTGATGCTGTCCAGGAACTCGTAGGTGTTCATGATTTGGAACCACTGAGTTATTATCTCAGGGGTAGTGAACATGGGGCCTGAGAGGTCGAGAATCTGGAAAGAAACCGTCATGGCATGAATGGCCTCGGTGAGCGCTGTCCTGGTCCAGTCAATGGTGATCTGCTCGGTGAGGAGGCGCTCTTCGACGTTTGCAGGGCCGGTTTGGGCGCGCTTGATGGCATCTTCAAGGAGGGTGAAGTATCGTGGTATAAGGGCCTCGAACAAGCTGATGTTGATTTCCGAGTGGTCGTCGAACTCGTCATATTCGAATGCCTCCCTCACAATCTCCCGTCGCAGGTTGTGCGTCTCCTGATCCAAGATGGCAGCGCTGGAGTGCAGCATGAAGGTCACGAGTGACTCGGCAGAGCTCATAAAGGACCGGCGTTCGGAGAGGTAGTGGGCCAGAATTCGCTGGCGGCGGGTGGCATCCTTCTCAAAGTCGGCCCATGTGGATTCGGCGTCGGCAACGGTGGAGAGGTTGAGGAGGGCGAGAATGTTGGAAGTTTGCGCATCACTGACTCCAGCAGCTTCCTGGATATTGTCGACATCCTGGGTAGTAAGAGGTCCGACAAGGTGGGCATGCGCGCGCGACTGGAACTCGACTACGACGATGCGCAGGGCGGCAACTTGGCTAATGTTGACATTGGTGCTGAGCCATATGGCGTCGTCCTTGATGGTCTTGATATTGAAGCGCTCGTTGGGCGTCTGGGTCACGTTGATGGCGGCCGTCTTGGTCTCGAAGTCGGCTTTCGTTTGCGAGGTTGGGGGTTCGAAGGTCTTGGAGGGGTTCTTGAGAAGCTGCTGGACGTAGCCATCTCTTAAGAAGGATGAGACAGCATCGCTGGTAATGCGATCGCCACGTTGGTCGGCAAGAGCTGAAGCGACCAGTTTCCAGGACAGTATTATATTCTTGCCCGTCAAACACTCCTCCAGCGGAGGGAAATATGTCTTATCGGTCAAGGAGGCCATTGGTGATGACGGTCTCCATCAGCGGCCGGGGCCAATTTTGGGGTATGGGTATTGGTGGGAAAATGTTCCCTCGAGAAGCGATGCTGTCGTCGGGGTCGTCGTCGTCGTCGTCGTCGTCGCTGTCGTCGTGTGGTTCGTCGGGTATTTCTTGGTCGACGGTCGATGAAGATGGGTGTAGGTGCGATGATGTATGTGACGACGGGAGAGCTACTGTAGAGCTTTGATTCAAACCCGACTCTCTGTCATATGCCGGTAGCTGGGTGGGTTGGAGAAGATGTTGACAGGAGTGAGTGTTGGGATGAATGTAAATATTTTGGCGGATTCGAGATTCCGTAAGGTTGGTTGGTTGCTTGGCTTGCTCTGCTGTATTTGCTTGACGCGCTTTCCCCTTCCCTGACGCGGCTGGCAATGATGTGCTGTGTGCAGTGCCAGCTGTGCAGCCAACAGCAGCGACGGGAACTTCAATGGATGCTTTTCCCGCCAAAAGAATCGGGCGGCCAGAACCACGCGCGGGACCAATTCCCACTGTGCTTTTTTTGCGACAGGGCAGTGAGTGTTTGGTGGGCCCTCTACGATAACTAAAGCGATAAAGAATTTCAATGTTGCTGAAGAGGAACGGGACGACGCTTGGACCCTCCCCCGTTTTGTTGATACAGTTCGCGAAACGGAAGCTGGAGGGAGGCAAGGGAACCAAGCTGTCAAAGGCAAAGCTTGGAAACCAAATCCACCTTCTTACTCATGGCAGTTTTGGGCAGTCATTGAGACCTACGTATTGGTCTCTCCAAATCATCGGGAGTTACATCCGGCGTTGAAAAGGCTGATTTGCAAAAGTGTTGTTCTAGCGCCACTAATAGGGACATGTCGGGTCCCATTCATTCATTGGCATATTTTACATACCTATATCGTATAATACACAGTTCAAAGTAACTCATCGCCTAAATATCGAACAAAGTCGCAAGTGACTCACTCACAAAAAGACACATTGCCCAAGCACTTGTGAACTGCTTCAGGTTCAGAGATAGCAGCACAAGGTAGTTGGATTTTATCATTTTAACCAAAATATACTGTATTCATTGAGAATTGATACTTGCAGTACTTAGTTCACAGCAGCTAGCACTTGCTGCATTGGGGTTCGTGTTCCGTTTGGTAATTACACTCAAGCATTCATTACACCACACCACAGCTGCACCTCTGCTCCTTCAGGAACAGAACACCTCAATACAGCATACCTAGACAGCTGAGGCATTCCGTCCTCTACCAAATCACAATGTCCGTCATCGACCATTCCCCCCACGATTCCGATCCTTCACCTCTGGTGGAAACAGCCTCCAACCTCATCCTCATCGACAACTATGATTCCTTCACCTGGAATGTCTACCAATATCTCGTCCTCGAGGGCGCCAAGGTGACCGTCTTCCGCAACGACCAGATCACCATCGACGACCTCATCGCAAAGAACCCTACCCAGCTCGTCATCAGCCCTGGTCCCGGTCATCCCGGTACCGACTCCGGTATCTCGCGCGATGCCATCAAGCACTTTGCCGGCAAGATCCCCATCTTCGGTGTGTGCATGGGTCAGCAGTGCATCTTCGATGTCTACGGTGGCGATGTGAGCTTCGCCGGTGAGATTCTTCACGGAAAGACCTCTCCTCTTTGCCACGACGGAAAGGGCGCATATGCCGGTCTTCCTCAGGATCTGCCAGTGACGAGATACCACTCTCTTGCCGGTACTCATGTCACCCTCCCCGAGTGCTTGGAGGTGACCTCTTGGATTGCAAAGGAGGATGGTTCCAAGGGCGTCATCATGGGTGTTCGTCACAAGGAGTACACCATTGAGGGTGTTCAGTTCCACCCGGAGAGCATTCTGTCCGCTGAGGGTCGTGGCATGTTCCGGAATTTCCTTCACATGCAGGGAGGCACCTGGGCGGAGAACGAGAGACTGCAAAAGGAGACCCGGGCAAAGGCCGCCCGCACAAAGTCCGGCACTTCCACGCCCAAGAAGAGCAACATCCTTCAAAAGATCTATGCCCACCGCAAGGCTGCCGTGGATGCTCAGAAGCAGATCCCTTCCCAGAGACTTTCCGACCTCCAAGCTGCTTACAACCTGAGCCTTGCTCCTCCTCAGATCTCTCTTGTCGACCGTCTTCGCAACTCCCCCTTTGATGTCGCTCTTTGCGCCGAGATCAAGAGAGCATCTCCCTCCAAGGGCGTCTTTGCGCTTGACATTGACGCCCTTCGCAAGCTCGCAAGTATGCGCTTGCGGGCGCCAGTGTCATCTCGGTCCTGACCGAGCCAGAGTGGTTCAAGGGCAGCATCGACGACCTCCGTGCTGTCCGCCAGGTCCTCAACGGCATGCCTAACCGGCCTGCTGTCCTCCGCAAAGAGTTCATCTTCGACGAGTACCAGATCCTCGAAGCCAGACTCGCCGGTGCTGACACTGTCCTTCTTATCGTCAAGATGCTCGACTATGAGCTTCTCGAGCGCCTCTACAAGTACTCCCTTTCTCTCGGTATGGAGCCCCTAGTCGAGGTCCAGAACACCGAGGAGATGGCCACGGCTATCAAGCTCGGCGCCAAGGTTATCGGCGTCAACAACCGCAACCTCGAGAGCTTCGAAGTCGATCTCGGCACCACCGGCCGTCTCCGCAGCATGGTGCCCAACGATACCTTCCTCTGCGCTCTCAGCGGCATCAACACCCACCAGGATGTTCTCGACTGCAAGCGTGACGGCGTCAACGGCATCCTCGTCGGCGAGGCCATCATGCGTGCTCCCGACGCCACCCAGTTCATCCGTGAGCTCTGCGCCGGCCTGACCGGCCCCGTGCCCAAGTCTGCCGCTGAGCCGCTCCTCGTCAAGATCTGCGGCACCCGTTCCGCTGAGGCCGCCACGGAAGCCATCAAGGCCGGTGCCGATCTCGTCGGCATGATCCTCGTACCGGGCACCAAGCGCTGCGTCGACCATGAAACCGCCCTCTCCATCTCCCAGGCTGTGCACATGAGCAAGAAGACCGGATCCACCGAGGTCTCCTCGCAAGCTTCCAAGTCTGCAAGGGACTTTTTCAATATTAACGCCGAGGTCATCCGCAAGCGGGGACCCCTGTTGGTCGGTGTTTTTATGAATCAGCCCATTGAGGAGGTTCTCGAGAAGCAGCGTCTCTATGATCTCGATATCGTCCAGCTCCACGGTGATGAGCCGCTCGAGTGGGCCAACTTTATCCCAGTGCCCGTCATCCGCAAGTTCAAGCCCGGTCAGGTCGGTCTTGCCACTCGCGGGTTCCATGCCGTGCCGCTGCTGGATTCGGGCGCCGGATCTGGCGAGATGCTGAACTTGGAATCTGTCAAGAAGGAGTTGGAGAAGGATGAGCAGGTTACCGTCCTGCTTGCGGGTGGACTGGGGCCTAGCAATGTCGCTGAGACGGTCAAGTCTCTGGGGGCTCTGGCCGAGAGGGTGATTGGTGTGGATGTCAGCAGTGGTGTTGAGGAGGGAGGCAAGCAAAGCTTGGAGAAGATTAGGGAGTTTGTTAAGGCTGCCAAGTCCGTCAGGTAAAAAGTTTACAGTGTGGTTAACGTCAAAAAAATGGAAGACTTGTTTCGGTTGGTATATTGGGTTCTTTCAGGCGAAACGGTGATCGTGTTCATGGTTCAGTTCAGATGGCTCAGAATTCAAAAGTGGCAGAAGAGAACTGATATGGATTACTGGAGAAAACGAAGGATAGGAGACTGACCCCCTTGTTCTTTGTCCCAAAAATCATACCGGGCGGGACATTCGACATTCTCAACGCTCAAAGAACAGACACTACGGACTTCCAGAATTCCTGACACCACCGCCTGTACCACAATGCTTTTGTACCTTGTTTCGACCAACAAAGCCGCCACGAGACAACGACCTCAACAGTGCCATCGCGAAGAAGGGAGAACATCAACATATATACTAACTACCTTCAACAGAACGGAAAACTTTGTAGCCGACCCTCAAAATTATTCCCGCCAGTTTCAACAAGCCCATGTCATGTCAGGTTATGATTCTTGACATTAAGCGCGATGCTTTTCTCAACACCAAAAGAAACTAGCCCTATCCCGTCCCGTCCTATACACCTACCACGCCCACCATGTCCCTTCCAACCCTCTCAGCGCTTCCAGATCTCTCAAATCTCCAAGCCACCCCCGTCCTCCCAGCCCGCAAGCCTCCTCCAACCCTTCCAACCTGCCCAAAGAATACAACCTGCCCAAAGAATACAACCTGCCCAAAGAATACAACCCGCCCAAATAATACAGCTCACCCAACCCATTTCTCCCCCTCCCCCCCTTCACCCACAGATTTAGAAATCTACCTCTACACCCCCTCCCTCCCCTGCCTACACTGCACCCTCGTCTCCTCCCCCCGCTGTTCTCTCCTAAACTTACTTGACCACCACTCCTCACGACAAGCACGACAAGCACGACAAGCACGACAAGCACGACAAGACCAACAACAACGGGACATTCCTGTCCCTCTTCCTCTTCCGATACCGGGACCGGGACTACAGACGAGATGCTCGAGGTGTGCAAGGGATGGAGTTGAGTGGTGCGTTTTGAGGGAGCCCGGGGAGATGGAGGAGATGGAGGACGGGGTTGGGGTTGGATTTGATGGGAGGTTGGATGGGAGGTTGGATGGGAGGTTGGATGGGAGGTTGGAAAGGAAGGTGGTGGAGGAGGAAGAGGAGGGTGAGGAGGATAAGGTGCAAGAGGAGCAGAAGGAAGGGATGGATGGGGCTTTGGGGGAGGTTGGGTTTGGGAAGGATGTGAGTGAACAGGTAGGGACTTTGCGAAAGAGGGAGTTGGTGGTGGAGGTGGTGGTGATAAGGATGGCAATGACGCAGATGAAAAGAAGTCTTCAGAGTCACCACTTTGGGCTAGGGCACGACGGATTAGGGCGCTACAGGACAGGAAGAGGATGGCTGTTGATATTTCGGAGAAGGAATCGTCGGACGAATCGTCGAACGAAGCAGAGGACAGAGCAGAGGACGAAGAAGAGGACGGAGCAGAGGACGAAGAAGAGGATGAGGATGAGGACGAAGATACAGAAGGGTCTTCTGCTTCCATTTCGAGGAGGTTTAGAAGAAAGTCTGTAGATTCTGCAGTGTCTGGGAAGTCTGCGAAATTCATATTTTCCACGAACACGGCGAAACCAGCACTACTACAACCACAACGAAGACATTCGACATCATCCTCACCCGACTTCGTCCATGCTGTCTATGATGCTGAAGGGGGCGGCGAGGGCGATGCCGGCACAGATAGCGAACCCGATCATGATGCCTCCGATTCCGATCCCGATTCCGACGACGTCAAGTCCAACGTATCTTCCAAAACTTCATTTTCCAAAAGATCTGTCAAGTCGACCAATTCTACCACCTCCCCATCCGTCAGACTCTCCTCACCCCCAATCAAGTACCCACAGTTACCTCTCCCATCGCCCACACCACCACCAGAACAAATATCAGACCTCGGTTCCGACAGCCCCATCATCATCAAAAATTGTGACTGTGCCTCTAGCCGGCGTCTCCTTTCTTGGGAAGAGGAGGAGACCGAGCATGAGCAGCATGAGCATGATGCCGTTGAGGTACAGGAAAGAAGAGAAAGATATATTTGGAATTGGAAAGAAGACGAACTCAGGTGGATGAAGGAGAACGAGAACGAGAACGAGAACGAAACGGAACAGCAACAGCAAGTAGTGAGTGGAAAAAGAAGTAGTAGGAAGAAGAAATTCGTCAGGGGAAAATGGAGAGGTCACCCCCTTTTTGCGGCCGTGACGGCTGTGGAGGTGGGGAGGGAGGATGTTAGGGACTTACTTTCTGTCTATAATTATGGGGGAGGAGAGGGGAATATGAAGAAGAGGTTCTTCAACGAGGAATTCCCGTTCATCGCGTACGTCCGAACCACCGGCTCACAAGATCAAGACCGAGAAAAAGACCTCCTCCCGATCATCCGCCAGCAAATACTAGACGTCACAAGCTCCCTACTTTACGACCCAAACACGCGCAAAAAGAAAATCATCGCCGCCGCAGAGGGATATTTACCACTTGAAGCGCGGTTTGGAGGAGGGTTCTCATTGACCCAGAACGATTTGCAGAGGCAATTTTCGTTGCCTAGTTGGCGGGAAAGGGAAAAGGGGTTGGAAGTTTTGGGTGGTGATGGTGGTGGGGTTATTACTGCGGAGGTGCGGAGGAGGAAGAGGGAAGAAGAGAGGGAGAGGGAGAGAAAAATAGAGGAGGATAGGGAGTTTGAGGAGGTGTTGGTGAGGTGGAGAGCGAGGATGAAGAGGGAGAAGGAGAAGGAGAAGGAGGTGGGGGAACAAGGAGAGAAGGAGAAGGAGAAGGAGGTGGGGGAACAAGGAGAGAATGAGGAGAAGGGGGAGGGGGAACAGGGAGAGGATGAGGAGAAGGGAAGGGCAGGAAGGGCAGGAAGAGAAGGAGAAGGAAGACGAACCAAAAAATCAAGTCAAACCCTCCCAGGAATTAGACATCACTGCCAACAACATCACCAGCACCTCTCCGAGCCCCCCAATTCCATCCACAACCCCAGATCCAACCCTATCCTCATCCCCAATACCTAACTCAAATCCCAACCCAGACGCAAACGCCGACCACGACCTCAACCTAACCCCCTCCACACCAACTGCATACTTCTCCCGGCGCCGTTCCTGCCTTCACAACTTCTGGACCAAAGAAGCCCAACCCGCCGATTTCGAGTCCGCCAAAGCCGTCAGACGGAACACTTTCCTCAAGTGGCGAGGGGACGGCGAACCCAACAATAAAAGGCCCAAGGGGGATGTGACCAAAGGTACCGCCACTGCGAACAATATTGCCGAGTGGGTTGCTAGCCAACGACGGTCTGGTCTTGGGCAAGAGAGAGGGCAAGGGGAAGGGGAAGGGGGTACGAGTGGTACGGCTACCGGTAGTAGTGATAGGTTACCGGTACCGGTACCAGTACCAGTACCAAAAGAAAGGACTCCGAGAAAGAAGAAGAAGAAAAAGAAAAAGAAGTTAACTCGCCAACAACAGGCCGGGTTCGATTATACAGAACGAGGGAAGGAGAAGAAGGGGGAAGAAGGAAAAGAGCACCAGTGGGCATTGTTGGCTGATGAGTTGATGGAGGTTTTGATTCATGCTAGCGATTACGATGCTAGCGATGATGGTGATGATGATGATGATGATGTTGTTGTTGATGATTATGTGGAGGATATTTTGGGGTTATTGGGCGAGGGTGATGGGGTTAGGAGTAATAAGAGACTACAAGAGATGGATGAAGATGAAGATATGGATAAAGATAAGGGTGAGGATGAAGATAGCTACCCACTCGTAGATCTTGTTCGAGAGTCAATGATGAATACCTTCTAAGCCAAGGTGTCACCTGCCACACTTCCTTTTGATGCGTTACGTTTATACGTGAAGGTCAACTAGTTCAGTGCTCTTGACACCTCAGCTAGCTTCTTCGTTCGACTTCCGAGACTGGAGTACGGATGTCCAATGTCCACGTCAAACCAGGAAATTTTCAGAGTCAAGTTCATAAACGGCAGTTATGTACTATCCATATCCATATCCTACCTTCCAAGCTAGCTAGGCAATAACATCCCTGGTGTACCCTATATAAACAACTCGGGAGAAGAGCTCATAATAACCACCAACATTATACAACATACAGCATACAGCATACAGCATGAACGTGAACAAGAGGGTTGAAAAACTAGTTGCTATAGAACTCCATAGACACCAATCGATTGCTAAACGCTTTCCCCCTTGCTTGCCTTGACCAACTATGCATGCTTTCCTTTTTCTTCGTCTTCGTCCTCGTCTTCTTCAAGTTGCTTGCTTGCATTGCTTTTCGTTCGTTCATCGCATGCCCCATTTGAAGCTATCAAGTATCATCGTCGTTCCAATCATTCCATCCTGCATCCATCCAGGGCATCATCCCCTCACGTGGTGTCCAACAATTACCTACTTTACCCCAACATTGACTTTCATTATAACAATCCGTTGAGAAGAGAGGACGTATGTTCAAGAACTGGGTTTGAAAACACTCAGAGACGAACCAAAACTCAAGAACTCAAGACTCCTACGACCTGGCAGCCTCGAGCTCCAGTTCCAACTGTCTAATTCTCTCGCTCTGATCCTGCGGGCCGGGCCCGACCCTCTTCTTGAGGGTCTCGACTTCAGTCGCGAGATGGCTGATGATCTGACTCTGGGCCTGGATCTTGTCGCTCTGGGCACCAATGATCCTGCTCTGCTGCTCGAGAAGCTGCGTGATCTGGGCAAGAGAAGCCTCGACAGATCCCACCGCCGAGGAAGCGGCAGCGGCAGCAGGGAATTGTGCGGGGGCGGTGGTCCTGACGGGCGAGGCAAGCTTCTGGACTGGGGTCTGGAAAGTTGAGGATGGCGGACCCTGAGGTGTTCGCGCCGAGACGGAGGCAGCAGCTCTGGCAGGGCGCGAAACTTCCTCGAAAGAAGAGGCCTCGCCCTCACTTGGCTCGGCGTCTTCCTTGTCCTGGAACTTGTTCGCAATAGCGGACATGGAGGCCTTCTGGTCCGACACGCTCGGCGTGGGAGAGCGGGCTGCAGCAGGAGGAGGCGTGGACTCCCTCTTGGGCACAGGGGCCTGGACAGGAGGAGGCGTGGACTCCCTCTTGGGCACGGGGGCCTGGACAGGAGATGATCCGGTAGCAGAAGGCTTATAATCGGCGGGGACCTCCCTGGGTGCGGTACCCTCGTAGATGCCCTCCATGTCGATCTTGGTGGGGATGCCATCCTTGCCGTCGAACCACTCCTTGGCGGACACAGCGGGCTTGAGGCCGGTCGCAGGGGGGTAGATATCGGACTGGAAGGTCTCGGCACGGCGAGGAACGGTGAAAGAGATGGGCTCGATGTACTGGTCATTGACAGTCTTGTAGGCCCTCATGATTTCGTTCTCGTGGACGTTGACGCCACGGCGAGGCACGAAAGCGATACCTCTCTGGGGGTCGCCGGACTTGTACTCTGCCAGGAACTCGAGCTTGTCGTTCTCATACTCGAAATAACGGATGTTGCCGTCACTGCGAACGTTAGCATACTATCATGTCTATCTCGGGTTTTGCGACAAACTTACCCCTTGCCAGCAAGGTACAGGCAGTTGGAGCCGTCATCTACGGAACCACAGTTAGCTTGGGCACATACAGGATCCGCAACTCACACAGTTGTTGACTTACCCCAGAAAGGCATGCAGACACCAGAGATGGAGTCGAGCGAGGTGAAACCACCGATGGGGTCCTTCCTGCCAGGCTCCCACAGGGCAACCTGACGGTCGCTCATCCTGGAGAAACCCGTGGTAGCGATACGGTTGTGTTCACCCAACCACACAGCGCGACTGTTCTTGGCACCCTCGTGGCCCTGGTATTCGTGGACTGCGTTCTGCTGGCGCACATCCCATACGCGCAGCTTCTTGTCGCGAGAGGTGGTGACCAGCATGGTACCGTTGGCGCTCCACGACAGAGACTGCACAATGTCGGGGTGCTTGAGGGCGATGGGGGCTTGGCCAGTCTCGACATCCCAGAACTTGACCGTCAGGTCGCCGGAGGTCGAGGCGAGGATGTTTTCGGCGGCGGGGTTGAAGAGGACATGGCCGACCTTTCTGTTTTTTTCATGTGTGTGTAAGCGCAAAGCTTCAATGTGTATTATTGCGGGTATAGATCATACCTCGTGTGACCAGAGAGCTTGCTGACGGGTGAGACATCGGCTGGCTCTTCGGCGTCTGTGTAGAGGGTGAAGTTCTCGGGCACCTCCCAGATAAACACCTTGCCATCGTCCGAGGCAGAGGCGATCAAGCGGTCGTTGAAGGGGTTCCTAACAGGAGGCTTGGGTTAGATTATCTTGTCGGGCCGTTGTAGCGCATTTTGGAGGCTCGTACCAGTCAGTGTCGAGGACGGCGGCAGTGTGGCCACGGAACAGCGGTATTTGGTCGGGAAGCTTGCCGCGCTCGTTGAGGGGGATGACGGCGAAGGCACCACCACCGCTCGACTCCCAGTTGACGGCCAAGTACTCTGGGTTGGCCTAGGTTGTAGAGACGAGACAAGGTCAGTATAATGACCATGACATGAGGCTATCGATCGTAGGGCATCGCAAGTAGTGGAGAGCGTAGTCAGTGACCATAAAGTACCTTTATGAGGTTGGTGTCCCAGGCATTGTGACTGATGCGGAGGTTGTCATAGCAAAACTCCTTGCGCGTGGACTTGCCGAAGACGTGTCCTAGCAGTCGCGGTTATCGTGTCAGTCTCTCTCGTCTCCAGCTTCCATGTCGCGACTCCTATCGTGGATACGGCGCTACCTCCCGTCTGGAGCTATCCGTAGGAAGGTAAAGGGGGAGAATACACGGGGGATCGACATACGATACTTCGACGCTCTGACGAAACGGCCGGCCATCGGGAGGGATTAAGGGCAGTAAGCTGCTAGCTTGGTAGCTTGATAGGAATAAAAGGGAATAATAGTGTAAGGTGCCGGAGCTGAGCTGTATTTCGGGGTCTGTTGACTCGGGTGATTATGGATTACTGTATGTAGTAAGTAGTAGAGCTGAAGATAGGGGGGACGGGAGTTTGTTTTGGTGGTTTGGGGAATCGATACCGACCGGCCGATGGGGTACCTGCCAGTAATAAACCAGGAGGTTAGAGAGGCGGGTACTTGACCGATACTTGGCCATGCCTGTCGCTTGACTA